AAGCAGTCCATTTGTATGAATAACATGCTTTTGTTATTTCATTTTAGAAGATGGGGGTTGACTAGGACTAGGCATCCTACCTCCTACTGTTTGTATTTATCACCCAGTGCTGCCTTAGTCAGGTTCTCCAATGGTGGTGACAGAAACTGGTAGGTATTGCTGTATCCATGGGCATGTGCTATGGACCAAGTATTGTAAGCCTGCAAAGAATACAGAGAGTTGGTTGCTTTCTCTTTTATGCTCTTAAACTGACTGTGGCCTACCTCCAGCGCTCAGGAGTGGATCAAAATGTGTGTCCTCTGTTGAAACAGGCAATAGGGCATTGAGTGGAGGAGAGGAGCAGAAATTTCATTATCACATCACCAAGACCAACCATTATATCTGAGAATCTTGGTAAGGGTAAGACTTCCTACTCCCCAAACATCTCAGATTTAAAAAACTGAGAATATAAGTGAAGATCTTGGTGGTGTTATTTATTTTTTTAAAACATAACTGTTCTTTGAGTTATGTAGCTCTAGTCAAGACAGCTTATTTTCTATTTCTATATAGTTTTTGTTTCAGAAGATAATTTCTTTTCAAAGATTTTCCCCCCTAACATTGCCTCTTGTTCTTCTAAGTTTATTTTCTTTTTTTCCTATATTTACCTTTATTGTCCATGTTAGATTTTCTCAGATAGCTGATAATCCTTGGTTGTCTGCTCGTAGTTAATACTAGAGATGTAGAAAGCACATTGGAAGCTCTGGTTAAGTGGTTAGACCTTTTCGACTTTAAAGTGTATTATTGGTTGACCTGGTATGACATTTTCTATGGAACCTCTCTCCCTCCTGCCAAAGTACTGTCTTTAGATTTTACTTCTGGGGCTAACATGCAGTAAGCAAGCAGTGTTTTGTAATCTGTTCCCTGGTATGGTATGAATGAGGGTGGGAGTGGAATAGAATAATTTCTGTACAGGCAGATATTTTGTGAGGAGGATCCCATAGTCACTTCAATTTCTAGGATTCACAAGATTGTCATACTCACAGCTCTGATTTATTACAGTGAAAGGACGCAAAGTGCAGTCAGCAAAGTGAAAAGGCACGTGGGGTGAAGTCTGGGGAAACCAGGCTCAAGCTCCCAAGGGTCCTTTGTCAGTGGAGTCACACAGGATATTGTTTAGCAATTCATTGTGACAACATGTGTGAAATGTTGCCAACAAAGGATGTTATTGGGAGGCATACTCTGCTTGGCAAGCACCCAAACTCCAGACTCCCAGAAGGAGAACAGTTGTTCAATATAAGCTGTATTGTTTGGAGGACCAGCTTAGGCATAGTTAACCACTCTCCTTAGTTTGAGAAGGGTGAGAAACTCTCTTGAAATTCAAGTTCTCATACACCAGAGAGTGTTTGTAAGACATTTAAAGGCTACCAGTCAGACTTGCTATCTTAACTGCTTTCTGCACAGCAGGTATCAACACTTATGCAGTTGCTTAATTCCTTTATGATGTATTTAATTGCCATTTCTAAATCTTTATTTGGTAAGGTACCTCTGTTCAGGACTTTTGTGCATTTTAAAATTGGGTTGCTGCTTCTATTTGAACTTTAAGAGTTCTTTAGATATTTAGCCTCATATTCCTGTATCAGACTTGTTTTGCAAGTCCTTTTTTTCTGGTTTGTTGCTTATCTTCTCTTTTCTTGACAGTGTCTTTCGGAAAGAAGTTTTTAATTTTAATGAAGTCCAGATTATCATTTATTTCCTTAATGGATCATGTGCTTGGTGTTTTATACCAAGTAATGTCACCTCCTCACCCTCACCGTATCCCAGATCATCTAGATTTTATCCTATGATATCTTTTCTTTTTTACTGGCATTATCCAAAATATGGTTGTATTCTGACATGGAAAAAAGCCAGTGTATCCAAATGAAAGAATCACCTTAAAAAACATTTGTAAGAAACAGCTTCCAAGAACATCCAAGCAACTAAGAAGGAGGAAAAGTGTTTCAATAGCCAATCAGTTTTCTTCAAAATATTAATCAGTAGAATACAACCCAGTATTGGGTTCAGATTGTCCATTGTCCTCTTTTGTATTTTCTGGTATATGTGTCTTTCAAGGAATTTATCCATTTTGTCTAGGTTATCAAATTTGTGGGCATAGAGTTTATAATTTCAATGTGTGGTTTCTCAACCCGGTTGGGCATTTTTCTAACTCTCAGTGGATGCTGACTGATTAACAAATTTAACTCAGTTCTCACACTATCACCAGGTGATAGTGTCAGTTCCCACAGATCAGAAAGTCTAACAAGATTGGCCCAAATCCTACTCTAAACTGCTGTACAGGTGTTAACTTTTGCTTCTGTCTGACTAGATATCAATTGGAGGTTCCCATAACTCTTTCAGTGCTACTGAACCTTAGTAATATTCCTTTTGTCATTTTAATGTCCATGAAATATGTAGCGATATTCCCTCTTTCAAATATGATTTTAGTAATTTGTGTCTTCTTTCTTTTCAAAGTTAGCCTAGCTTATCATTTTTATTGATCTTTACAAAGAACCAACTTTTGGTTGTATTGATTTTTCTCTATTTTATGTATTCAGTTTCATTTATTTCCCACCCTAATTCATGTCTGAATTTAATATGCTGTTTTTTTAGTTTTCTAAGGTGGAAATTTGTTACTTATTTTAGATCTTTTCTAATAAATGCATTCATTGTTATAAACTCCTTGCTAAGTATTACTTACAACTGTATCCTACAAAATTTGGTAGCTTGTGCTTTCATTTTTGTTCAGAATATTTTAAAATTTCTCTGGAGATTTCTTATTTGACCTATATATTATTTAGAAGTGTGTTATTTAATCTTCACATACTTTGATTTTCCAGCTATCTTTTTGTTAATAATTACTAATTTAATTCCTTGTAGTTTGTGGACAGACAAATGATTTATAGATTTTTAAATTTGTTATGGTGTACTTTATGACCCAGAATGTGGTCTGCTTTGGTGACTGCAATGTGAGGTTGAGAAGAATGTGTTTACTGTTGTTGAATGAAGTCTACAATTGTTAATTATATACATTTGATTGATGGTATTATTTAGTTCTGCTATGTGGTCTCAGACCCGTGGGGAAATTCTTGTTTTTACTTCTTCAAATATTTGTTCTGTTTCTTTTTTTCCCCTCTGGTATTCTGATTATTCCTGTGTTATAGCAGTTATGCTATAGGTTTACATTATAGTAGTTACACGTACTATAGTTAGGTATAGTTGTTGTTGGGTTATCTGTTCCAGTTCTCTTTCCACCCCGCCCCACCTCCCCAGTCTATTTCTTTTTGCTTTTAAATTTCAGAAGTGTCTGTTGCTACATTTTCAGCTTAGAAATTGTTTCCTTTATGGTATCCTGTCTACTAAAGATTCCATTAAAAACATTCTTCATTACTACTAATACTTTTCACCTCTAGTATTTATTTATGATTTCTTTTTAGAATTTCCGTCTTTCTCCTTACTTTACCCATCTGTTCATGCATAGAATTCTTAGCATATTAATCATAGCTTTAAAAATTCCTGTTCTGATAATTTCAACAACCCTCACAACCCTGCTATGTCTGAGTTTGGTTCTGATGCTTGCCCTATTGCTTCACTGTTTTTTGCCTTATAGTGTGCCTTCCTTCTTTTATTGTTGGTTATGTACTTGTAAAATAATTTCTCATGAAAGTAGGTCTTGTTCAGTTGAGAATGATCTGGCGTATTTCAAAATGTTTATGTTCCCCTATCCTTGCTGGAAAAATGAGGAAACTTTGCTCCACTATTCAAGGTCTGAACCTGGGAGAACTCAGTAGAGTGAAACTCACAAAAGTGTGGGAAGCCCTCAATGCTTACGTCCCTCTTGTGTTTTAACTCCTAAGTGTGCACTTCAGCCTCCAGCAATTTGTCATAATGTTAGTTTAAATTTTCATACCCTGGTACTGGCTTCTGGTAGTATTTCTGCTCATGAGTTTCTCTTCTGTTAAATTGTGATTCCTTTTATTCCTCTGTAATATCTCTGATTTGGAAGGGGTAATCACTTCTCAGGGATTTAAGAATTGAATTTTTTTTTTTTTTTTTTTTTACTTTGTTCAGTGTTATTTGTTCGGAACAAGAGAGTACTCCCAATTGGTGCCTGTGGCTGGAGTCTTTCTGTTTACAAAAGTTTTACTTTACCTTTAGAAAAAAACTTGCTTAGGTGAAGGGATGTACTTGTAGAGTCCTGGAATAAGGGAAGCAAAGTAGATTTAAATTATTCTTCCTCTTAACTTTATGTCTGCTTTCTTATTTGTGTCAGTTCCAATCCTTCCTTCTGTTACCAGTTTTTGAGTTTCCTGAAAATTCAGTGGGTTGAAAAACTGGATGTTTCTAAAGTGTTTTTTTTTTTTTTTTTTAAACTACTGCTATATGATTCATCTTTCTTGGGTGTTCTAAGTAGGTTACCATATATCTATATTGCTATATAACTTTTGAGATACTGTCGCATTACCACTTTTATTTTCTTTGTCTTTATGTATTTGTCTTTAAAATCATTTTATTGTAATTAATAGGGAACTAAATTAGCTGATTAGGTTCGGTCTACCAGATCTATTTTTATGTTTTTAATTTGTCAAGATTTTACTTAAGTTACACCTTGATTATCTTTTCAGTTCTTCCCTCCTTCCCAAACCAAAATTAATAAAACTAGATGATTAATTTAATTACCTGACACATCTTGATACAAAGCTGTTCCTAGTCATATTAGTTCATTGGTAAGTAAAGTATTTCTGATAATGAAATTTTTTTTTTATTTTTGAAAAGAAAATCTCATATAGAATGGGGTCGACTTGAACAAATAAATGAAATGTTAATGGTAAAAAATTGATTGTAATAGGTAATGCGAGTGCTGTGCTTCCCTTTCAAAGATAAACTTGTTATTGATAATTATATTACAGTTTAGTGACTTGAATGTGATATTTACATGTAAAAAATTAAAAAAATATGTTTCTTCAATTTCTTTTTCTGATATCTAGAGAAAGCAACCAGTGAGATGAATACTGCTGAGGATTGGGGCCTTATTTTGGATATTTGTGATAAAGTTGGTCAATCTCGCACTGGGTAAGTGTTGCAAAGTTTCAGATGATTTTTATTTGTTCTTTTTATTGCCATGAATGAAACATGGATTAAAATATAATATAATTACAATTTTTCTTACAAAGAGAATGTTTTTGTAAAAAAAATTTGAGGAATCATTCATTTCGGTTGTTCCTTATAACCAGCTGGATAACATTGTAATGGTAAAAAATGTACAAATTTGAATTATTTATTCATGTCCTTATTGGATTTCTGAAATCTAGCTTTTTCTACTGATTTTTTCCGACTGTTTTTAAAGTTGTCAGTGATTTCTCAGCTACCATTCTTATGATGGTTATTTCTAACATTTTTTTTTTATCACATCTGCAACATTCCACCCAACTAATCAATGACTTGAAAAAAAAGATTAGGGAAATAGAATCTTAATTTTTCGTGTTTTTACTTTTATGAAATGCTAATACTTATGCTAATAACATTGGCTTTGGTAGCCTCATTTGCCCCTTTATGCCACACAATATTGTCCTAAGAACTTTTATGTGAAAAAGTAGGTAGTAGTACCACTTTGTACTTGCTTCATTTGGTGGTAATCTTTACCCTTTGATAGTGCTTTCTTTGGCTTGTCTTTCTATCTTTCTGAATACTGATAGTTTCTTAAACTTTTTGTATTGTTACCACATGTATAGACTTTGATCTCATTCTAAAAATCTGAACTCATTTCCCTTTTGCATTAAACCTGCTTTCTCTCTTTTGTTTGCTGTTTTTGTTAATGACAAAATTGTTCTTTCATTTGCACTTAAAACCTCAGTGTCACCTCTACAGTTACCTCATTACTAAATGCTACCAGTCTCCTTCAGAATCTCTCTCAGAATGTTGTTCACATAAAATCTCCTTAATTAAGTTCTTGACCATGGCTAGATCAGTTCAGGGGCAGTTTGTTTTCAGGCTTTACTGCCCCTTCACTCTAGCCCTTTTTGACTCCTGATGTGCTCTCCTGTCTGATTTCCTAAATTGTGGCCTCCTCCATTCCCTTTGTTGTCTTTACATTTTAGTGTTCTAAGTCTTGTTATTTATGACACTGTTCATTGCTTAATTTAATTAAAATTTGGGTAGCTACTGTGTGCTGCTTATCTGTTCCTTTTTCTGTTTCATTGGCCCTTCTTTTATTTGAGACATTCATTACCTTGCCTCAGTGAGTGAACTAACCTAGCATTTCTTTCTTTTTCCATTTCTTGTCTGTTCAGTTCTTATACCCGGTTGCTATCTAACAACTGTCTCCATGTTACTGTCCTACCTTTGTATTGGGTTTAATCTCACTTCTTAGGTTTCTGAGTCATTTTCCTTTTTTGTCTCTTGTACATGCCATTCTTTTCAATCCAAGTACTAAGTCATTAGTGCTTTTCTACCCGTTGAATGCTTTTCGCTATTCTGTTCTTTTAGCATGGGATATTTTCTTTTCCCATTCCCTAGTTCTAGTCTCATATCCATAAGATCCAATATAGGATATTATTTCTCCCCCAAAGCCTTTCTTTTTTCCCTTTCACTGACCATGAAAATCATAATCCTCTCAGTCCTCAAAGCTCTCTCTCAAACCATTCTTACCATGCTTATTGGTGTTTTTTTCTTGTCTTATAGTAATTTCTATCTATGTAGTAAAGTTAGATTTATAGATGTAAGCATTTATAAATATTTGCTAAACTGAAGAAAGAAGCAAATAGTTTAGTGGTTGAGAGCATGAAATCTGTAGTGAAACTGCCTGGGTTTGAATCCTAGTTCTGGCTTCTGAGTTGTGTCACATTGGGTAACTTACCATCTAGTTTGCTACATAAGAATAAAAATAATATCCTAGGGGATTTGTTGTAAGTATGAGATTAGTGAGTATCTCTGTCGTGTGTGTGTGTGTGTGTGTGTGTGTGTGTGTGTAAATATTTATGATACTTACAGTTGTACCTGGCACATGATTAATGGGTGCAACGCTGCTTCTTTTTGATTGAAGTCATATTTTATGACAGTTTGTTGAGGATTGGGTATCGACCTAGCTCTATCCCTGTATGTTTTGGAGATAAAACTTTTTTTTTTTTTTTTATAGAGGCATGCTTTATTTATTTGTTTGCTGGTTTGTTTGTTTGTTTTGTTTATACATGCACTGGGTACAGTCAGAAGCGCGGGAGGGCGAGAGAATTCACCAGAGCCAGAGCGGGGAGCAGAGCAGGCAGAAGGACCGAAGTACACTGCTGAGGGGAGCAGCGGGCGGCAGGAGAGGTCTGCGCGCCATGTGGGACCCTCCTCTGGTGGCCGGGGAGCAGCTGGGGATCGAACCGGCGCCGTAGAGGCCGCGCGCAGCTTCGCAACCCAGCGCTCAACCGCTGCGCCACCGGGGAGGCCCTGGAGATAAAACTTTTATCTAGCATTCCAGTTACAAAATCCTTTCTCTTCATATACTGGTTTTCTTTTTTATTATTGGTATTCTTCATTTTATAGTTACTGTTTGTGATAATTTGGTTAGTTGCTTGAAATGAAAAGACAAATTTTCCTTCGTTATGAAAAATGTTCTGTATTTTTCCAGTTAAAAAATAAATTTGCAGGGCCTCCCCCAGTGGCGCGGCAGTTGAGTGCTGGGTTGCGAGGCTGCCTGCAGCCTCTGCAGCCCTGGTTCGATCGCTGGCTGTCGGGAGAGGGTCCCACATGGCGCACAGACCTCTCCTGCTGCCCGCTGCTCCCCTCAGCAGTGTACTTCATCACTCTGCCTGTTCTACTCTCCGCTCTGGCTCTGGAGAGTTCTTTCACCCTCCCGTGCCTCTGACTGTGCCCAGTGCTTGTATGGATGGATGAATAAATCCTCAAAAAAAAAAAAAAAAAAACCAAATAAATAAACAAACAAACAAACAAATAAATAAATACATTTGCAGCCCATCTGAAACTCTGGTATATACTAAAAGATTTAGAAATCAATTTATGTTTCTTCATACTTGTTACTCATTTCCTTGCTGTTGTGATGAAGACTTTTTCAGATGCATTTTCTTTGCAGCTTTCAAATATACAAAGTATTGTAGCTGTGCCTATTGTGTGCTGTACGTTACATCCCCATAACTTATTTACCTTTCAACTGAAATGTATACCTTTTTAAAGAAGATTTATTTATTTATACATAAAAGAACTGGGGTATAAGCCAGAGGTGCAGGGTGTGAGAAGATTCAGCAGAGACAGAGTGGGGAACAGAACAGGCAGACTGACAGAAATACACTGTCGAGGGGAGCAGTGGGTGAGACAGGAAAGGTCTGCCTCGCCATGTGGGTCACCAACCTGCCTGGCCGGGGATTGAACTTGTGCTGCAGAGGCTGTGGATAGAGTGCTGTGCTTAACCCCTTGTGCCACCAGGGAAGCCTGAAGTTTGTACCTTTTGACCACCTTCACCTGTACACCTCTTCATATATCCACTTCTGGTAATCCCCAGTCTATTTTCTGTTACTTTGCATTAAAGTTTTTTTTCTATTTCATCTATCAGTGAGATCATAGAGTATTTGTTTTTTGTTTGTTCTGACTTATTTTACCTAACATAATGCCTTTAAGGTCTCTCCATGTTGTCCTCATGTATTTAAAATACACTAATTTCTTTTTTTTTTTTTTTTTTATTTAGTATCAATAGGTTCAGGTGTGTGCTCATTTTTTATTTCTGAATTTATTTTAGATAACATACTTGGAGTGTATTCTTTAATATTTCACTTACTGTCATTTTGACTGACATTGCACTGTATCTATGAATTATTAAAGTGTTTAGCTTTTTTAATTTAAATAATGAGTTGGGGCCTCCCTGGTGGCGCAAAGGGTTAAGTCTCAGCACTATGAAGCTACCCACAGTACTGCCAGGGAGCTAACCACATGGCGCAGCAGACCTCTCCTGTCTCACCTGCTGCTCCCCTTAACAGTGCATTTCAGTGCCCATTCTGTTCCCTACTATGTCTCTGTTGAATCCTCTCACCCCCCAAACCTTTGGCCTGTACCCGGGTTCTTGTATGCATAAATAAATCTTTAAAAATAAATAAATAAATGATGAGTCTGTTGTCCTTTTAGTCCATATTTTTCATTTCCTCTTCTTTTTCCATTCCACTTATTTTTTCAGCAGTTACTGATCTCTAGTTCCTTTACATTTTTATTAATTTCCAAGTATTCACTTGTTCATGTAAATGGGATATGTCTCTTCCTTGCTCTTGTTGATAAGGATATGCTTGAAAGGGATTTATTAATAATTGAGATATCATTCTAACATTAAAATGCCAAACGCTCAACATTTGCATGTATATGATTTCTCTTTAAGAATAATATTTTACATACATACCATTTGTGTTTTTACTTTCTTGCAATACTGTGATAATCTCTCAGTGAGAAATAGCAAGTATCAGGGCACATTATTTCATAGGGCATTAGGTACTATAGCCTTTATAGATCCCTTTCTTCATTAAAAAATAATAAAAATATTTTTGACTGCATTTTATAAAAACAAATATATCATTATACACTAAAACATTTTCTTTACCCCCTAAGCTCATTTTTAATCTTCTTATTCTAAAAGAAATTAAAACATTTTTTGTAGGCTGAGTCTTATTGTTAATGTAAGTATTACAGAATTGAGTTGTATATTCTCAAGATCAATTTAGTGATAGAAAATCATTAACATTCTTGTCTGGTAGCAGTATGCTATAAGATATATATGGTGGGAGTTCCTAAAAATAGATGTGATTTATTACTCATATTTATATTGTAGTAAAATTATACATGGCAAATTTTATCATTTTAACCTTTTTAAGGCTTGATTCATTACATTCACATTGTTGTAGCATCATTACTACTGTTTTTCTGTAAAGTTTTTCATCATCTTCAACTGGACTTTACTCATTAAAAGCCCCCCCTACTCTTGATAACTACTTAAAGATTTGTTAAATCTTTGAAATAATTTTATGATTAGTGCATATGTAAAACTTAAGGATGTCGGTTATTATCTAGGAATCTGGCTAGGTATGTTTAAAATG